TCGCGCGGAAGTGATACCACAGAATAGGATCGGTTTAATCGATTTGAAAGATATTCTCAAAATGAAAGACAATCTCAAACCGACTCAAAGTCGGAAAGAAGGCAATGAACCCAAAGAGGAGATGAAAGGCCAACACAAGACACTATTGGAAGCCGTCCTCAATAAAAGGCGGGATGTTATGGAAGAATCGGATGACTCTGACAGCGAAAGTGATGATGAGTTCCAATGACTTGTCTTAACTGTAATGCAATTGTTGTTATAGTTTTATAGCACTAATTAAACTAATTTTATGTAAAATATCTTATAGTATAGCATTTCCTCGCTTTTATAAAGATTTTTGAATAAATGAAAACTTTTCAACAAAAAAGTTGTAAAAATTTACAACATTAATGTAATACTGTACTTTTAAATCACATGCAGTGTTCATGTAACACGTGACTATTAAATCCGGTAAAAGGGCATAACTCTATGTTGAATATGTGATGTGTTATGCCCTTTGGTATTATAAATAAAAGCAATGTTATACAGTGTGTTGAAAACGTGTTGCCAAACGTTGTGTTGAGTTCATGAACGATGGAGTACTCGGAGGCCAACAGTCCAGTGGAGACCACTTCCCGCATGTAAGTCACTGTTGTCTCAATCCATGTCATGTCCATTCACTCACACATCCATATGTCTCATCCCAATCAATCAGACTCTGCTGTCAATGCGGATCAGCCATAGCTCCCAATCCGTCCAATATGTGTGTGGCGTGTCTTCGCACTCAAGTGGACATCACTGAAGGGATTCAGAGGTATCACCAGTTTTAGCTGTTTTGTCAGTATTTGGTGCGACAACGACCGGATCGTTGGGTGGTATAGGCTTTCCGAGTTTAGTGTGCAGTTTAACCACTTTCTGGTGCTTAGCGCCGCGAATATGTGCCGCATAGGCGTCATTCCCAGTGCACGTCACGTCACACAACTCGCACCGCAAGGATATGCCTCCGACGGGCTGTCCGTGCCTTTTAGGATTGGGCGCAACATTTCCTGACTTGAGTTGTGCCTCTTTTTTCTTATGTCTTTGTCCGTCCAAATGCTCTTTATATGTCTGCGGACCCGCGCAACTGATTTTGCACACCTGTCAGTCAAGCAGTCAAACAATACTATTATAACTCTGTATTCACTTATGGCTCAAATCATCATTTATTTCGTGCGCTATATATTGAATGAATGCTAAACTCATTAAGACAACACTCTCACAAATCATTGTCTGGCTTATGGCTAATATTTGCTAATTATGAATGGCATATACGGTAATGGTTTATGAATAAGTGGTGAATGAGACTCACATCGCAATAATGCAATTGTTGTACACTTTTGGTTGTCTTCACTTTATTGCCTTTCATTTGTTTCTTGAAACTCCAGTTATTCGATGACTTATTATTGGAGTAAATGGCGGCCGTCTGTTCCTCGGCACCGGTACTACTCGACTGTTGGCTATAGAGAGCGGCTTTCAAATCAAAGCAAACATGAGTACAATGTCTGCACGACTGCAACAGTGGATGCAATACTTGCGGCATAATTGGTGACCACAGAGTTGTATGAATTGGTATAAGCCGTGCAATTGTAAGGATAAGTAGTGTTTTGCACTGCATTTGGATACTGAGTGGAGTCCGTAAAACCAACCGCTCCTGTGGTCGGCTGCCAACCAATACATCCATCAAAATGTGTGAAAGCATTGCAATCGTCGGACAATACCTGAGTTCTTGTATTATAAGAATAAGCGCCAGAATTGGGAGTCGATTGAGTGGTTTGAGGGTATGTCTGGTCGTAAGGACTTCGCGCCGACGAGCCATACATTTGTGCAGTCATTGCATAAGGGGTTGTGGGGACGGGAGTATAGGTTGTCCTGAATGGCAACAGTAATGGTAATTATCAATGGTATCAATGAATCAATGGTCAGGTGATGGACACAAACCCGTATTGAGTGCCGGCGTGTGTGAAGCCGTAGTAATTGTTTGAAGTCATGTCAGTAAGCGATCTGTCAGTCAATACACACACAACGAGTGACTAATTTGTGCCAAAAATTGCAAAATTGGTTGTAATTGGGTTTGAATTGAACCGCAAATCACATCCAAATAAGTGTTGAATTTATTTAGCGATCAATTCATCACAAATGGCTGTCATTTGTATTGAATTTCATGGCAAACACTGCGAGACGGCATTCACTGTCACTGCTGCACTCTGTGCACGTGCTAAGAGACATGTATTCACACGACACCTGACGGCCAATCACCACAACTGACTGCTAATGCATTGAGTGCTACGAGTGTGACGACAGGTGTCGAGTAATCGTAGCCTACTTTTGACGCAAAGCCTCATGAAGTGTGGAGTGAACTGACGTAATGTATTGACATTACATTGGATTCACATATGATTTAATCGCTATTCAAACGCATTATTAGTTGCGATTTACTTTAATTTAGTTTTATTTAATATAACGTTATTATAGTCATAACGCTGTCAACCAAACAGATTAGTAGTCAATGGTTGTCATGTTGTGTCCATTTGTGATGAATTGATCCAATATTAGGTGATATACTCGTGTAAATCGATTGAAAGCAATGCCACGTGTTTTCAATTGTTCACAACTAAGACACCGTTTAGTGATCATTAAGACTCGAGTCAATTGATTGCAATTGACTGCCGTTTAGACCATATGTCCACTCCTTGCCATCCATTCATCAGATTTGTCACAAGAGATCATAATATCAGGAAAGATGTCATCCAATGATGTGAATGGCGTGACAGATGTCACCGCAGAGAACAGGTCTGACATACAAACGCATTGATTGTCTGAAAGTATATTTGATTTGATTTCTTGATTACGAAAGCAATGAAAGGAATAAAACGAAGAAAAAGAAGAAACCGACGAATGAGTCGAAGACCGAAACGGATGTCATAGAGACGAAGGAATCGACTCCTGATGGGAACGACGGCAACGATAATGAAGACAAGGATCAGAAGGAGAAGAAGAAAAAGAAGAAGAATGTGAAGAAGGATGAGAAGAAAGATCCGAAAGACGCGAAAAAAGGCGGGCCTTCGAAGAAGATGTTGGCTCTGATTAAAGAGAATCTTCAGAAACAGACCGAAGAGGAGGAGAAGTTCAAAAGAGACGAAGACGAGCGCATCGCTCGCGAAGAAGAGGCCGAAAGACAACGAATAGAAAGGCTTCGAATAGAACAGGAGAGGAAGGATAGGAAGAAACAGAAAGAGAAGGAACGGAAGGAACGCCTCAAAAAAGAGGGCAAACTATTGACCGCCAAACAGAAGGCAGACAAACAAAGGGCTCAATTGAGTCTCGCGGCCGCCATAAAAGACGGACAGATAATCGTCGGCCGAAAGAAGCCTAAAGACCAGAAGAAAGTGAAATCGGATGACAATAAGGGCGACAAAGCATCGGAAGACCAAAGTCCTGAACAAACGCCTTCAGGAGATGCCGAGGATGAAGAAGTTGACGACTCGGACGCGTCTGATTTGGATGTGAAGGACAACTGGGAAGAGTTGAGTGAAGAGGACACCGAAGATAAATCGGATGCGAAGACACAAAAGGTTGATAAAGAAGTGAAGCGTTCGGAGAGTATTACGAAACCAATGAAAGAAATGGTAATAAAAGATGAAAAGTTGGAAAAGTTTTCGGACGGCGGACCGCCTAAACGTCTATACCGATCGCCTGTCGTGTGTGTGTTGGGACACGTGGACACCGGGAAGACTAAGCTATTGGACTACATTCGCAAATCCCACGTCCAGGACGGAGAAGCCGGAGGTATTACACAACAAATTGGCGCCACTTTTGTTCCTCCGACTGCTATTGACGAGCAAACCAGAGGAGTGAAAGCGACCCAAAAGAAGGACCTCTTACTGCCCGGGCTTCTCATAATCGACACTCCAGGACACGAGTCGTTCTCTAATCTGCGCTCTCGGGGCAGCTCTTTGTGCGACATCGCTATCCTTGTGATCGATATTATGCACGGATTGGAACCGCAAACACTGGAATCGATTGAATTACTAAAGTCTCGTAAAACTCCATTCATTGTTGCGTTGAACAAAGTGGACCGACTGTATGAATGGCGAAGTAATCCACGCAAAGACATCGAGGATGTGATCGGCACTCAGATTCAGAACACGAAACTTGAGTTCACTAAACGCGCCAAAGAAGTGATTGTAGAGTTGGCTCAGCAGTCAATCAATGCCGCACTTTATTACGAAAACCTGGACGTCCGGTCCTATGTGTCATTAGTGCCCACTTCTGCGCACACCGGCGATGGGATGGGAAATCTTATCGCTCTTTTAATATCATTAACACAATCATTGATGGCTAAGAAGTTACTCTTTGATCCCATCAATTTAGACGCCACAGTCCTCGAAGTGAAGGCTATTCCTGGTTTGGGAACTACTATTGACGCCATTCTAGTGAACGGAAAGTTGAGAGAAGGCGACAAAATAGTGTTGGCCGGACATGACGGCCCTTTCGTCACACACATCAGATCCATTTTAGTGCCGCAACCCCTCAAAGAGTTGAGAATTAAGTCTCCCTATCAGGAGTTGAAAGTAGTTTACGGCTCAATGGGTGTGAAGATAGCGGGCCATGACTTGGATAAAGCGATCGCAGGTTTGAGTCTATTAGTGGCCGAGAATGAGACCCAAGTTGAAGAGCACAAGAATTTCATTTGGAATCAATTCGGGAAAGCAATGAAAGCCATCAAGTGTTCGGAGAGGGGAGTGTACGTCCAGGCGAGCACTTTAGGCTCTTTGGAGGCTTTGCTTGAGTTCTTGAAGACATCCAAAATACCCTATTGTGGAGTCCGTATCGGACCAGTTGTCAAACGCGATGTTATGAAAGCCTCCATAATGTTGGAGTCATCGCCCGATTATGCGGTCATTTTAGCCTTCGATGTCCGCATCGAAAGAGACGCACAGGAATTGGCCGATCATTTGGGAGTGAAGATATTCAGCGCTGAAATCATATATCATTTGTTTGATAAGTTCACGGCTTATAAGGACGACCTCAAGAAGCAGAGACGCGAACAGAATAAGAATTTAGCGATATTTCCGTGTAAACTACGAATACTTCCCAATTGTGTGTTCAATACACGCGACCCAATAGTTGTCGGCGTATCCATAGAGGACGGTATCGCCACTCCCGGCACACCATTGGCTGTGCCCTCGAAGGAAAACATCGAAATCGGAAGAATAACTACAATTGAAGTGAACCACAAGACGCTGGACAGCGCCCGCAAAGGACAGGAGGTGTGCATCAAAATAGAGCACTTCGGCTCCGATGCGCCCAAACTCTACGGAAGACATTTCGATTACAACGATCTGCTCGTCTCCAGAGTCACCCGAGAGTCCATTGATGTCGTCTTTCTCGTGAAGGCGCTGCTGGAGGTCTTCTCACTGACCGTCAACTACTAGCTTGAGTTCTTCTGGAAGCTTTAGTATACTAAAAGTAAGTTAACAAGACATTAAATTTAATTTTAATAAATGAAAAGTGTTAATTTGGACTCAAATTTATTTCATATTCAATACTTGACCGCAATATTTGTGTGAAGTGTTTGTTTGCAAACACTTTAAAGTTTATAAGTCTTTCGAAAGAGTGAAGACCTCTTACTAAAGAGTCGCTGTTATGAGTCATAGTTGTTATCATAAGAGTAAAGACTACAAGTTGTGGCACTGAATGACATTATATGATATACAGCACTATCACACATGACATGACAATCTTATACAGTAAACAGTAATCAGGTGTCGACTTACAGTAGTTAAAGAGCTGACAACTCTCCAGACAGCATCTCATTGGCTGAGAGTTTGCAGTAAACAAAGTGATGACGCAATCAATGGGTCTTTGAGTGCAATAATGGATGAAATGAATGAATCGCATAATAGTCTCGAAGATTGGATTGCCTTTAAGAAAGACATCTTTGCCATCAATGACAAGACACGAAAACATCGATTTCTCGTGGCTTACAATCACATCGAGAACTCGATTGCCATCACATGTTGTGAGGGCACGAGACGGGCGGCTGATAAGCGCAACAAATCAATGGCCTCTTCGTTGACGTAATGATGGATTCATTTAAGATATGAATTGATTTTTAATTGATTTGATCCCAAGTCTACAGAATCTGATTGATGTGAACAAAGAGTTATCGCTTATTCGTCCAAAACTGGACCAATACTTCCAACCAATCATAGAACTGATCCAAAGCCGTAATTCGCATTCGAGGTTATATTCATTGATAATGAGTTTGGGTTTCGGGCTGTGGTTCGGGTAAACCATTTCCTCTTCAGTCCTATCATTAGGCCTTTCAGTAAATTAACTCATATTCAATGCAATCATCTCTTAATCCTAATATAAAACAAACGAAAACTTGAAAAACTTTTCTTAACTATTGCTTTAAGTTTTGCGGAAATAATTGCCGAAATATTTGTACAATAATTATAATAATAATTATGTTTTGTTTCATTTCAGACAAAAGTCTGAGGATTTGAATGAAGAGGTTTGCCTTAAAATCGGTCAATACTTGGAGACGGCTCTAACCATCTGCGGCCATAAACTAGTCTTCAATATCTTATTTGAAATCGACTTTTGGAACGGTTTTGAAGAGAATATTCAGGATTTACGGGTAAAAGGATTTGAAAACTTGTTAAATGATTCACTGAAAGAGTTGAATTCAATCATCAAAATGCGATCAAATGCGGAAACTTTGTTGGAAATGACGTCTATATATGAAATAGAAGATCAAATGATGGCTAATGTGTTGCAGAATTTGGCAGAACTCTATAACTTTCAGTTACAGCCTTTCCTTAAGCTAAGAGAATTGGCCCACAATTGCACTCAAAGCGCTCAACTCGTCATTAATAGTCCAGATTTGGGACAAAGAGTTAAAAATGAGGCAAAAATGGAGTTAAAAGAGTCGAGAGAGCAGTACATGAGTTCGACGGAAGCCATACAACAGCTCTATCAGGACTACTACCGAAAGACTGTCGAACTGTTCGCCGAACAGACGGGCAGAATGAGGAGCGACCAGAAGAGGTTCGGAGAAACGGCGTTTCAGATCATGGGATGTCTCAGCCGTCTCCACAAACTGGAACTCTTCCTCACAGAAGAGAATCTGAAACTTTTGAATACAATTCAAATAACAAAAGAGTTTCAAAAAAGTCAATTCAGAGAACAAATGAATGAAACCAACAATAAATTTGATTTAAAACTAATGGAAAGCGAATTGTTTGATATGGAAATCAATTGCATTGACTCTAAACTAGACATCATTTGCGAAGAGGAAAAACTTACGAAACATAAAATTATGATTTTGGAGACGGAATCTAAACTTAACGACAATACCGAAGAGTTCTTTGATGCCATTGAAGATGAAAAAGAGCTTAAAAATATCGAAACTACTTCTCGTAAGGAGAGAGACATTCGTAAAAAGTTATCACCGCTTAAGACGAAACTGAATAATTTGAACCGAAAACGAGCTCTTCTTAGAAATAAACGAAAACAATTGGTTTCTAATAAGGAATCCAAACAACTGAATGTCGCCAAAGAGAAAGACAATTATGAAAAGCACCACAAAATTCATACGAAAAGAACTAATAGTAAGACTAATAATGTATTTATTGACAAAAGAAGTGATGAAAACTTAAAACAAATCCGAAAGAAGACTTTGGAAAGACTCCGGAATTATAAATTGAAAGCATTGGTCACTCAAAGCAAAGACTTTAATTGTGATGATAATGACGATAACGAAGACGAACTTCCTCTTCCTCCTTATCCAGACCTAAGCGAACATCAAATCAATAAACATGTAATGGATTTGCCATTACCTCCGCCTTTAGATTTGGATCAAATGTGTGAACAAACACCCAATTCAGACAATGCCCCCAATGTATGTGCCAATGCCAACAATCCCACTTCAACCAAATCTTCAGCACTACAACCACCCCCTCCACCGCCACCCCCTCCGCCGCCACCACCACCAGTGCCACAGCTTGTAATTCCTTCGGCATTGAAATTGAATATCAAGAAAAAAGACGTCAATTCTCGCGCGGAAGTGATACCACAGAATAGGATCGGTTTAATCGATTTGAAAGATATTCTCAAAATGAAAGACAATCTCAAACCGACTCAAAGTCGGAAAGAAGGCAATGAACCCAAAGAGGAGATGAAAGGCCAACACAAGACACTATTGGAAGCCGTCCTCAATAAAAGGCGGGATGTTATGGAAGAATCGGATGACTCTGACAGCGAAAGTGATGATGAGTTCCAATGACTTGTCTTAACTGTAATGCAATTGTTGTTATAGTTTTATAGCACTAATAAAACTAATTTTATGTAAAATATCTTATAGTATAGCATTTCCTCAGTTTTATAAAGATTTTTGAATGAATTAAAACTTTTCAACAAAAAAGCTTCACTTTATTCATAAGTTTACAATATTATGTAATACTGTACTTTTAAATCACATGCAGTGTTCATGTAACACGTGACTATTAAATCCGGTAAAAGGGCATAACTCTATGTTGAATATGTCATGTGTTATGCCCTTTAGTATTATAAATAAAAGCGCAGCTATACAGTGTGTTGAAAACGTGTTGCCAAACGTTGTGTTGAGTTCATGAACGATGGAGTACTCGGAGGCCAACAGTCCAGTGGAGACCACTTCCCGCATGTAAGTCACTGTTGTCTTAATCCATGTCATGTCCATTCACGAACACATCCATATGTCTCATCCCAATCAATCAGACTCTGCTGTCAATGCGGATCAGCCATAGCTCCCAATCCGTCCAATATGTGTGTGGCGTGTCTTCGCACTCAAGTGGACATCACTGAAGGGATTCCCAAACAAGTGATCATTTATTTCTGCAAAAAATGCGAGCGGTTTGTATGGATTAGTATTACGAGACAATTATAACGAGTTATGTCTTCGGCAGATATCAACAACAAATGGGTCAATGGATTGGTGCGGATCTCGAGTCCTCGCAATTGATGTCATTTTGTCTGAAGAAATTGAAATCTTTGAATAAAGTAATGATAAATGAGTTTCAAATGTCATAAAAGTGTGAACCAATTGTCAATCTTTAGGTGAATTTAGTGGACGCGACGTTTGTATGGACTGAACCGCACTCCAAACGCATTAAGATTAAGCTAACCGTCCAGAAGGAGGTGATGGGCGGCACTATTCTTCAGCAGACATTTGTTGTGGAGTTTGTAGTGAACGGACACATGTGTGAAGACTGTCACCGACGAGAGGCCAAAGACTTCTGGAAGGCTGTGGTTCAGGTGAGACAGAAGACTGACCACAAGAAGACATTCTTCTATTTGGAACAACTGTTGATCAAACATAAGTCACACGACAAGTGCGTCAACATTAAGGCCATCGACGGCGGCATTGATTTCTTCTTCGACCGCAAAGACGAGGCTAAGAAATTGGTTGACTTCCTGTTGTCTGTCATTCCCTGTCGTTACCAAACATCTCAACAACTGATATCACACGACACACACAACAACACCTATAACTACAAGTATACGTATGCCGTAGAGATAGTTCCCATCTGTAAGGATGACATCGTATGCCTTCCCCTCCAAACCGCCCAATCCATTGGAAATATCGGACAGATCTGTGTTGTGATTCGAGTCACAAATCTGGTCTATTTGGTCGACCCCTTCACTCTGAGAAGTGAGTCTTAATTGTATACATTTTTATAAGTTATAGTATTTTAAAACTATTTAAACACAAAGCCTGCGAACTGACGGCAAACAACTATTTTCGGAACCCTTTCCGATCGATCTGTAGTTCTAAGCAATTGACTGAACACATAGTGATGGACATCGAACTCACCGGAGATGATATCAAAGTGCCGATCGGTAAACGGTCTGATAAGGTATGCAATAGTTGTGCAGTATTTGACACCAAATATTGATTAAAATGCTTTGAATTGACAGCATTTATTGGCCGACATATGGGTCGTGAGGTCGAGTGAGATCGGCAGCGATAACCAGAAGCACAGCCGAACACATTTGGGACATCTTCTAAAACCGGGCGACACTTGTCTGGCGTTTGACATAAACGGCGCGAATATAAATGAACCCAATTTCGAGAAATACGAGAAAAACAATTCCAATAAAATTCCGGACGTAATCGTCATTAAGAAGTATTTCGGAGACAAAGTGTCGCGAAACCGAAGGCGTGAATGGAAACTGAGACGTATTGAGATCGATAAGGCATCGGATGGCAGTTCAGCCAACAGGGAGTACATGGACTTCATGGAAGACCTCGAAGAAGACCCAATGCTTCGACAGAACGTCAATATCTATGCCGACAAAGAGAAGATGGAGTCGGGAATGGCTGTGGATTTGGATGAACTCGAGGCTGAAGCGCCTAAAATCACTCTTCAGGAAATGCTCGAGGATTTGGTTATCGATTGAAAGCTAACTTTTATTTTATAAAAACTTAAATTACATTCAATTTAATAAAATGCTATTAAATATCAAATGAGAGCAAAAGATGTTGAGTTTAAGCGTAATAATTAAGATTTGCTTTTTTCTTGGCCTGAACTTCGAGGATAGCGTCCATGAAGTCCTCGTGAGTCACTTGAGAGGCGCTACGTCTCAGGGCTATCATCCCGGCCTCGACGCACACGGCCTTACATTGAGCGCCGTTGAAGTCGTCGGTACAGCGCGAGAGCTCGTCATAGTTGACCTCCTTGTCCACATTCATACGCCGGGAGTGTATTTGCATAATGCGAGCCCTGGCCTCTTCGTTCGGGTGCGGGAACTCTATCTTGCGATCGAGTCGACCCGAACGCAAGAGCGCCGGATCCAGAATATCGACTCGATTTGTGGCGGCAATCACTTTGATGTCGGTGTTCGAGCTGAAGCCATCCAATTGGTTGAGCAGCTCTAACATAGTTCTCTGCACTTCCCGATCGCCAGCCTTTTCGCTGTCGAACCGTTTGGTTCCAATGGCGTCGAGTTCGTCGATGAAGATGATGGCCGGCGCCTTCTCTTTGGCCAAAGCGAACGCATCCCTCACGAGTTTGGCGCCGTCGCCGATGAACATCTGCACCAACTGAGGGCCGGCCAGCTTCAGGAAAGTCGACTTCGTCTGTGCGGCGCACGCGCGAGCCATCAGAGTCTTCCCGGTGCCGGGAGGGCCGTATAGAAGCACTCCCTTCGGGGGCTGTATTCCCAGGTTTACGAACTTCTCCTTATGAGTCATCGGCAGAACCACCGCTTCAATGAGTTCTTGAATTTGTTTGTCGAGACCTCCGATGTCGTTGTACTGCTCAGTCGGCCTCTCATCCACTTCCATGGCTTTGACGCGCGAGTCATACCTTCAGTCATACAATCATACCATTAGTAAAGCAATTGACGGCTAAATAGTTCTGAGAGAGAGAGAGAGAGAGAGAGAGAGCCTTACTCTGCGGGCAATGTCTCTAATATGAGATACGAGTCTTTGTTGACTCCGACCAGATCTCCGGGTTTGAGTTTCTCGGCGTCGACTAAACCGATGACCGGAAGGAAATACGTCTGTTTGGGGGACACGACAGTCAGTCAGTCATACATTACACTAATGACATCCTCCACAGCAATACCTGTCTCGTCGATGTCTTAATGACAGCTGATTTGCCCTTTCGTTGTGAGTCGAGGTCAACGTTGGCGCCGTCCTCTTCGCCCAACTCTTCGGGATCAATGTCTAAGAGTTCGATGACATTGGACACCAGATATGGCAGAGTTTTGTTCACTTTTATCTTTTCAGTGTTTTCTTTGATTTTATCCTTTTGTGCCGACAATTCATGACTGATTCGCAACACTTCACTCCTCATTATCTTAATCTCGTTGTCCAGCAGTCGTGTCCGGCCGACCACCTCATCGGTCGACATACGAAGAACATCTTCACTCAACACCTAATTGTCGGCAAATCATTACAAATGACCACAAATTGCATACAAAAACTGCTGAATCATTCAATGTTTGCCATCACTTGCCATTCAATGAGCAGTTGTCAGACAAATGCATATAAGAGTCCATCAATACATACCTCAATGTTATCATCAGTTTTGTCCATTGAATTGGTTGTCATTATTACTACGAATTCACTTCCGATTCAATTGTTAATCGGTTTAATCACTCCTTCAATACAATGTCTTATTTGACAAATTCAGTCAACACTTCACACATCAATGATGTCAGTATTAACTCATCCATACAATTGCACCTCTGCTGCAGATACAACACTTGCATCTAATTGTCATTTTATTTTAACCATTGTTTCAATTGTAGACAATTGAGTCAATAAAATATAATTATTATCTCAATTACTATGATTACTATCAAAATGTCCAATAAGACTAATATAACACAATCTAAACAAATGAATGGTTACTGTAATGAGTGTTAGGTTGCTGTGAGATGTGTTATCCAATGGGAGAGAGTGTGTGAAATAACAACACATTTTGAAATGTAATCATTTAGTGGTCTAATTGTGTGATAGGTTTGCAGTGATTGTGGTCGCGATGGATATGAGTATTGAATTCATTGAGAAACTATTGGATCGCAAAGACTTCAAGTAATTTCTATTTACATACATTTCACACAACAATTGCTTCACATTTAGTGCACTCATTGTAATTGCATTTAAATTTCATGTTTCAGTGAATTTCAACGATTTGTCAACTCTTTGGATGACATCAACGAGAATGTGGTGGCGAGTGAAGACAATTCACTGAATTTGTTACACATTTGTGTCGGTCTTAAAGACACGGACTTTGGGCTCAAATGCATTGAATATCTTCTGTCATTAGATGACATCCAAGTGAACAGTTCCGCCAAAATTGAGTGCATTCTCGGTATAACCGGCGCTCATATGGCTGTCCAATGGGGACACCATAACGCTCTTCAGGTGTTAATTAACGCCGGAATCGATCTCTTTATCTGTGATTCCTATGGACTCACTGTTTATGATTATGCCCTCCGGAGTAAGGATCGCATTGCTATCGATATGATAGAAAAAGGTCTTCAGATTTATTTTTTAAATCAAACCAAATATTGTCATAAAGATCGCCATAAATCTGAACCAAATAATGAAGACTTGGATCAAACGGTTGTGTATTTCAATGAGGAGGACAATGATTTACAAATGAGTGGCAAATCATGTGATGATTCTTCAGAGTCAGACAACTGTTCGGTAAATACTTTGATATCCAACGTATCGTACGATAAGTCGGATTCAATAAAGAGTTGTCAATCGGATGGAAGCGATAGGACAGAGATCTATGTCTACAACGACAGGGACCACAACGTTGTGCTCATCGAAGAGAGATATGAGGGCTGTCTTGATAAGAGCGGTTCCAGCGATACGTCTGATGTGATATCGAGAGGAAATGCTAGTCAAAGACATAGCGACCACAAAGTGGATGAACTAATAAAACTCATGAGTGACACACAAATTGTCGACGAATTGCGAGCTATGGGTGACTCTCCCGGACCTGTGGTTAAATCGACGAAAAGATTTTACGCGAGCCGTCTGTTGAGTCTGAGGAGAGGGACGGCGTGTTCGCCCTCTAAGAAGGTGTTCCTACTTCCCGGCTATAGCGAGGAATTGAATCGTTTGGTCGAAAACACGTTTCCTTTCGATGAATCTCAACGATTAGAGCAGCAGTTGATGAAGTGCTTCGAAACCGATAAATCCAAACAAAGTTTCTTCATTTACATCCTTTTGGATCCCACTATCACTCAGAATATTCCTCTCGAAGCGAATGGCGCTAAGTTTGCGGCCAACTCTTGGACTCAATTTGAGATCAATCTGTTCATACGATTCGTGAGAGCCATCTTCTATGTGGGCAAAGGTCAGGGCAACCGAGCCTTTGAACACTTCTATGACTCCATTAAAGCCGAAGATAATCAAAAACTTTCGGAAAAATGTGAACGAATTTTGAAGATATGGAGGACCGGGAAAGGGGTCGTGTCTTTGCATTGCTTTCAAGGCATTCACTCGAATGAAGCCTTTATAAGAGAGTCGCTGATAATCGATGCCATCATTCGCTCGAATCTGACGAATCAGAAAAGTGGACACAAGAGGAATGAAATGAAATGGAATGACAGGAAGAGGCGAATATTGGGCTCATTCTTGTTGTATAAGGCGTTTCGGATATTCCTGTTGACGGGTGAGCGACAAATAAGACGACCAGAAATGTAGTCTATTTCTCACGAATTGATTAACTTTTAGTTGTATTTTATTTTAGTTGTATTTGAAAGCAATTTTTAATTGTAATGATGTTTTAGTTTATAATTTAAATGAAGTCATAATTACGGTAAATCCAAACCAATGGAAATAAAGTAAATTTCATTGAATGACACAAATGTGCATTACTTTTGTTGAAATAATATTTACAATAAATAGAAAACATAAGTAAATCAAATAAGTTAAACCAGAATCAAGCGGTGCTGTTAGGACTGGTTGTTTTGGTGGGAGTCGACGGATCCAATTGCATGATCTGACAGATCCAACGCGAGAAGTCTGTCTTTTCACTCTCAGACCGCTTTATAAACGAGTGGCTCTGTTGTCAATGGAAACCACAATTACAATCATTTCTCATTCTAAGCATACAATCAGTGTTTATACCATAAGTGAGTTAAGGTCTGCTCTTTCGGCCGCATTTTTAGTGAGACATCGATCGACAAAGTCCTTGAAATCTGCAGTAAATACCGATTTAGGAACAGTAGGCGGCGGTTCATTGACGATATAATCCAATAATTCAAAAATGGATAGTCGGGGTCCGTCTCCGGCAGCACCCGAACCAAGGATTTGATTCAAATTGTTGGGATTGGGTCTGAACTTCCCGATTGGACTCAACGAGTGATAGTTCTGAGACGGCGGACAAATTTCGTTCGTTTCGGGCGTATATTTGTCACCAAATATTGAAGTCAACTCTTTCTCATCAGGAGGTGGAACTGGATATCTTCCGATCGCCATCTCTACCAATGAAAGTCCTAAACTCCATATGTCTGACTGAACTGTATAATGATTTCCCTGAAGTCTCTCGGGCTTGAGATTCAATGAAAGGACATCAGTATTGGACATCAGTATTGGAAGGACTCATGCAAATGGCAATGGAATCCATGGCATGGAATGGATCCATGGCAATGGAAAGCAATACTGACCGACATGTAAGATCTCGTGCCCACAAAGGAGTTGGCCATTGAATCGATGAGTTGACCGCTCACTCCAAAGTCACAAATCTTTATTTCTCCCCTAGAATTCACTAATATATTCGAGGGCTTCACATCTGTATGTCATAACCGGATCCACTCATTAGTCACACACAATGGCCACAACCAAGCCATACAAACCCCTGTGCATTATCTGATGCTTTTCCCGCAAATAGTTAAGGCCTTTGATGACAGCAATGGTAACCTTTCCTAAAATCTGTTCCGGAATACGATTTGCTTTCTTCAACAACAGGTCTAACGATCCGCCGTCCTATCCATGAGACATATGAAACACTAAGACTGTCGATCATATGGTGGCATCAGTTGATTGCTTACCATATATTCCATACATATATTCATCTCTCCGTCTGAATAGAAAGCGCCGTAAAAGCCGACGATATGCGGAGAATTGCATTCGTGAAGTACTTTCAGCTCTCGGATTATCTGACTCCTGATGGCCGGCTTCACCTCCAAATGGATTAACTGTCCACCGATTGCAACACATGAGACATAAGTGTCATTCAATTGTGTCCATTGGACTCACTTTGCGGGCCATAACGAGACCGGAGGAGCGGTGCATAACTTTGGTGACGACACCGCCATTGCCTGCACCCAAATCACCCAAATTGTCGAAGTCTTCGGCATTGAGCTGTTCGCCAACCTTCTGCTTCTGCGACAGGAATACCTCCAACCGCTTCCTCTGCTGCTCATCCAACTCGAGACCCTCTAATGTCTTGTGCAGCCCCTCAAGACTCGTGTCCACATGTTTTCTGTGACACCAAATCACCCGATAATTGGGTTAATAGTAATTGTAATGAATAATTAATGGATGAATGCATTACTCTATGGATGGGTCGATGAGATTGTTGTCATTGGTTTGCACTGAAGAGTGCGGAAGCTTTAGATTGAGTTTGTTTTTAGCACTCATTGACCATTCAGTGGATCAGTTGCCACCAGTTGACAATCAATTCAATGCCTAATTAATTGACAATATTTTCAATTTACTAACACTTTGTCTGCTGTTCAACGGACGCCCAACAATGGCATGTATGACAAGAGGTGTGAATCAAGTGATGGACTCGGAACTCACGAGTCAATTGTCATACAATTGCCATCAAATGACAGTTAAACCAGTGATTGAGTCAAACATCACTCAATTGCCAGTCGCTGTCAATGAATGCATGAATACAATGAACACTGCATTCAATACAAGTGTCGCTCTCTTACAGCCTTACAGTCCTGAGTATATGTAGTCAAACCTATACTCCATTCCCTGTCTATTGTATCGCATTTCCATTCAATTGTCTCATCTCTCCTCATATGTTACACTCATTTCACCCAAATAGCAAATAACTGGTTGATTAGATTGTCATCAATACTGTTATTTGTGCTTGCTTATGTCTACTTCAGCATTGGTTATGTCTATTAAGTGGAGTTTATTATAACAGGAATAGACTGTAAACTGGATAATGTAATAAACTATGCTAGATGCCCTACAATAGCATTGCATTGCTATTGCATTACTATTACATTAGACTAGTTTATATTCTAGTGTTGTATGCATTAATAGGTCTATTCTGCACCTGTATGCTACAGTAGGACAGGTATTCGTATTATACTTGACAGCAATTGTCAACTTTTTCATCGTCTAAATTACAGTGAAAATATCCTGTTTTTAATGATGCCTTCAAAACATGAAAACTAATCAATTTTCACTCATCTCTATAGACAAGAGTTTTAGACTTTCAAGGCTTTAGAAATGCATTCATATGGCTATGAATGAGTCATTCACTTGATTTGATTCACTAAAGAATAAACTTTTATGTTATTACGAATTATGTCATTGTCTATAGACTGTAGTAATTGCATTTCACACTAAATTCACACAAATTATTGCAATTAGTATCCAATTCCCTCTCCTGTATAGTTGTATAAATACTGTAGATTATAACAAGGCAATTACCGTATTATAATCCTTTTAAAAACTTTACAATGAGTTAGAATACCACTTAAAGCTTAAGAAAAAATTCATGAGAGTACAATAAATATTAAATAAACGTTACTGTATTTTAACTCCATGTTTAACAACTTTTACAATTAGTATTTCAGTTATCAGATGCAGATATAAAAATAACATCACTTATTGTAAATGAGAGAGAGAGAGAGAGAGAGAGTCCGTTATACAGTATAACTTATACCGGTAATTGACAAGACATTTCTGTTTTAAATGAAACGATATTTTATTGAATAAAATACAATATTTGCTACAAATGTTGATAAATATTAGTCATTAATAGATTGACTGGTGTTTCCAATTATTCGACTTCTGTCCGCACCTTTTGGATATACTTAGGATTCAAAGCGATGTCGTAATCCATTTGCTTGAGTTTGTCGTCCAATTGAATGCATTTTCTCATCTATTGAATGGAGAGTACATTAAAGAAAGTGAACTCAAGAATGGGATCAAACCATACGTCGTCTTCAATTTGTCGGTACATAAGCGGAGAATTGTATTTCTCGGGATTGTCTAAGAAGACAACCATTCCGTCCCTTTGATCGATCGATGCAAATATCTCTCCGTCTTCTATCTGTGGCCACAATAAGTGATAAGTGTTTGGCTCATAGGCTGTGGTCAGTATGGGACCAATGGGTGGTACAAACCATATCAAGAATGTGTTTCTCTGCCTGTTTGGCATTCGTGAGCTGAACCTTAGTGGCCATATCGTTGAGGGACAAAGTCATGAATGTTTTGGTCAGTCTTTGGATGTTCTTCTTATGGAGTGAAGACACGCATTGCTTCACTAAACCAATGTTTGTGTCCTTTCAACACAATACAAGTTAGTGTCCATAACAAGTCATTTCATATAAAGTAATACTCGAGTGAAAACTTCGGTGTATTTGTTGATAACAGCAGTGAGTTCTTCGGCGTTATTCGAAGCGTAAGCGGAGACCAAATCAGTGTAGGGTTGACTCAAGGGTTTAATGAAACGGTTCACCACTTGAGACGTATATTTGGGAAGCGGTGGCACTTTGCCGTCGAGTATGAGAGCAACCAACACATACTTCTTGTACGCCTCGAGCATTATATGGCTGACAGCCATGGATGGGGTGGTGAGCGCCACCTGAAAGAAGTATAGCGAGCGGTCGTAGTTCTTGAGCGCCGCGTATATCAGTCCTCCGTAATAGTAGTACAGAAGGAAGTACTTCACGTCGTAGTGACCATTCTGTCAGACATACTGTCCGTCAATACTGTTCACTGTAATCACTGTTCACACAATTCATACCTCTTTACTGATTTCAGTGATGTCTGTGTCCAGGAAATGAAGGGCAGGTTTGAGGCATTTTGCCAGAAGACAGAGTTGACAGATGTCGGCGTGGATTGACGTCAACTGCGAGCCATTCAATTGGACTTTCGTTATGGCATTACTCAACACTTCTATGCCTCGAATCGCTTGTCTTTGGTCTACAAGTCTTTGCGTCAATAAGTGGCACAAAGAGGCGACTGAAACGCAACCACACGTTACCATCGATTCAATTCGTGACAAACACACCACTCATTCATTCATTACTCACAAGTTTCAGGTGAGGCGCGGATCTGTTCGCCATTACAGCCGGCAATGAACTCTTGGATCTGAATAAACAGAGACTCGTTGTCGACATTCGGGAGATTCAGTTTCGCGCATCTGATCCACATTTGATCCACATTTGACACATCCGTTAGAAATGACTCAACAAATGATAATTCATAACAAATGTCTTACAGAATAGCCATAATTCCCAGACTGTGCTCCTGGAGGTCCAGGGTCTGCATCACGTCCTCCAAGTGGACGCTATTCTTGCTTAAGATGTCGCTATTCTTCGCGATATAATCGGACAACTGTTCAAAACTTCCTGTCGATGGCAACAATCAATTGATTAACCGGTTTATTCACAACACGTTTGTGTCATACGATAACAAACCTTGCGAGGAATAGTTCCTAACTGTCACCACAAACTGTTCCAGTGGTGATGCCATTGGATCCGATTTATAAGCAATGAATGTGTGAATGGATTGCGATTTCAATTTGAATGCAATTAACAATACTTTTAGTAATCAATCACTCATTCAATGCAAACACAATCAATGTCTCATTCATAGAGTATGTCTCCACTAATGTCTTCCACCCCTTCATAGACACACAGTTTATGTGAGAGTTTGTGCTCAACTCACTGTCATTACTGTTGTGTGATTTCAGTGGACCCGCTGTACTCGAAACACTTGATTGCCACCTGATTAGTGTACAGGTATTGCGTGAATGATCGCACGTATACATTGTGGGGACACTCAGCTGACGATATGTTTACCAATGTTTAGCACTTTTGTGATACGTTTGCAAACAATTGGGTTAACAATCGCTTTAATTACCACTATTTGACGCCAAAGTCACTCAAGATTTAAACATTTCTTGCATTCATTTAATGATAATTAAAATAAGGCTTAAATCGTACCATTGATCTGACGCGGAGACAAAGTATAAGACATTCCCAAATCTGATCCAAACATCGATAATGTCAGTGATTGACCAAAACGATGACAAGTATTGATATGATTAATTAATGACAGCCATTATAATCACACAATTAATGATGAATTTGTCGCAACTATTAGTGTATTCCTGGATAACAACGACTCCAACGGCTCAGACAATGGCGTCGCTCTAATCCGGGAGCTCTTCGACGGCACCGACGATCTCTTGGACACAGAACTGGAGCGCGCATTAGGTTTGTGACCAACTGTTCACTTGTGGTGTCCTGTGGTGACTGACGGATGACTGGTTTGCACAGAGAATGGCATTCAGACGATAGTCATTGAAGCGCACCGTTTGGGCGAAGAGACGGCTCGTTGGATATCAATCGGCAACTGTCTGAACAAGACATCGGTGGTGACGGGCATCGGATCCATATTAGCGGGCATTATATGGCCGGAGAAGAGGAGCACTCAGTGCTGTCTGACGGGTGTAAGTCTGCTCACGAATGGCATACACTACCTCTCATGGCAAATGGATGAGTGCGAGCACTACAGGGTCGAGACGGACGTCCACAAGATTGCGGCCAATTGTGCCCATTTGGAGGACTTCGACAAACCGGTTGTGTTGACCAGACGTGAGGCCCATGAGATGAAACGGAACCATATTTTTCAAACAGCAATCTCTTTGATAGCGTTAGCGTTCACTGCTTTCAAACTCTATAAGTCTTTTAAATTGACGAAAATTATTGTATAAAATGTTTAATACGTTATGATTTGTAATTACTTTCTAGTATTGCATATCATTATTAGTATAAAACAAATGTCTAATTATTCTTACAAAACAACATTTATTAATAATAAAACGAATTGAATATATTTTTATTATATATTCATTTGAATACACTTTGAAAATGTTTATAAACCTAATCAACGTTTTCTTGTTTCTCTTTTGGCTCTACTTTTCATTAAATAAAAATAAATGTTTGGAAACACAAATCTCAACCAAATGGCAATCTTTGGCATTAGAGGTGATAAAACCAATTGTTTGTCTTTCTTGATGACCGCCAATAGAACAGATTTGGCCACATCTTCGGGTTCAGCGCCTGACGCTGTCGTGGCGTCCATTAGTCCGTAGGGATCGCCCGAACCCGTGATGGCATTCATTGATAAATTGGTTTTGATATAACCCGGACTCACCACCAGAACGGATATATCGGTTGCAAAGAGTTCTGCGCGAAGACTATCACAAAAGGCTTGGAGGGCGTGCTTTGAGGCCGTGTAGGCCGACCGGAATGGTAGGGCTAACTGTCCCTGAACACTGCTGATCACCACTATTTGGCCGCTATTCCTCTGAATCATCGCCGGAAGGAATGCTTTATTTGCAAATAAATCTCAATTAATTAAACCCTAATTATGGATACGATTACAAAGACTGACCCTTAATGAGAGCCAATTGTCCGAAATAGTTAACAACCATTACTTTAGTGTCCACCTCAACACTGGTCTCCACAACACTTCCTCTGTAACTAATGCCTCCGCAATTCACTATCACATCAACCCTTCCGTAATGATTGAGCGCTTCCGAGGCGTACGAATCCATGGCATCGAGTTTGCAGAGATCCAGTGCTACCACTTTGGGCTCAAAATATTCATCACTAGATGAAGTGTTTGGCAGTGATATCAAACTCTTCTTCACTTCTTCCAACTGATCCACTCTTCTGGAGGAGAGTATAAGTCGAGCGCCGGATCTGTAGAATACTTGTGCCAAAGCTATGAAAATGAATGGTAATCAGTGATCAGTGAATGTGAATGTGATTGAGACAATAAATGGCACACCTCTGCCGAGTCCCGAAGAGGCGCCAGTGATCACCACTACTTTGCCGACCAATCGGTCACTCGCTATGAGTTTTTTGTGAACTCTGTTTCGATATAATTTGACCAAAATATAGGGCAAAACTATGGCTAATAGTATTGATTTGATATGATTTGACTTAAAGAGCAATTGATATAAAACATGATTACTATTGAATGCATTCATTGCTCACAAATTGTCACAACGAACCAGTTATTGTCATTTGTTTGTAAACATTACGATCACACATGCTATGCAGTCGAGTCAACTTCACGTCAATGTGTGCTTTACAGGCAACACAACATAAGCCAAACATTGACAGAACTTTGTGACAACTTATTAGATTCAGTTTGGATTACTATACAGTTGTAAGCTTTGTATTGACATTGTTATAGTTTCAAACTTATACCAGGATTAGTGCAACATTCAGTTGTTTTGTTTTTTATTTGTTTTGACTCACAGTCTGTTTTTGTGACAATATTTGAATACAGTTTGTGTAAAGGTATAGAAAACTAGCGTAGGTGTAGGATGTACTGTATGTAGGCGTTAGGCGTGTGCTTTCACATCAATTCATTGATTAATTGACTGATTTTCAATATTATTTACAATAACAAATTATTTTTACACATAATTTGCCATTTGAGGCAATATTAAGCTAAATATAATAGCGTCAACATTGTAAAGCAAACAATTGTTCAATATTTTGGACGTTTACACCAAGAATATTCTGTCATAAAATTGCATTTTAAAAATATTCTTAAACAGCATTCAATTCTGCTTTATATCTATACAATCCATGAATGAATGCACTAAACATTTAAATAGATTTAAATATATTTTTAATTTCATGCAAAAAAACTAAATGTAAAGAATATGAGGTGATGTATGCTATTTGATAGCAACACTTGTGCCAAACAAACCCTCATTCAGTTTGTGTCATCTGATAATCATTGAATTAAATACTTAAAATTTGAAAACATTTAATATTCTTTTAGAAATGCTTATAATTAGTGGTGCTAGCTCAATTTTTAAGATATATGTCGTCCCAATCCCCGGAATCTTGACATATAAACTATTGCCTCAAACAGATAGCGCAAGAATTGATGTATTTGTTTGTCTGTTCCCAATGTTTTGAATAGTTTGAGAAATTTGAAAACTTTTTTAATTGTTTTCAAACACGAAATGAAAACATTTGTTGTAATAATGGCAGTGAAATCTCAAGCAATGAATGCGAACGTTGTCCTGAAGTTGATTATAAAGAAGTTGTCCTTCAGCTGATGGAATGGTAGAGAAGTTCTACTCATTTATCTCTCTCTCATTTACAATAAGTGATGTTATTTTTATATCTGCATCTGATAACTGAAATACTAATTGTAAAAGTTGTTAAACATGGAGTTAAAATACAGTAACGTTTATTTAATATTTATTGTACTCATGAATTTTTTCTTAAGCTAAGTGGTATTCTAACTCATTGTAAAGTTTTTAAAAGGATTATAATACGGTAATTTGCCTTGTTATAATCTACAGTATTTATACGACTATACAGGAGAGGGAATTGGATACTAATTGCAATGATTTGTGTGAATTTAGTGTGAAATGCAATTACTATAGTCTATAGACAATGACATAATTGATAATAACATAAAAGTTTATTCTTTAGAGTGAATCAAATCAAGTGAATGACTCATTCATAGCCATATGAATGCATTTCTAAAGCCTTGAAAGTCTAAAACTCTTGTCCATAGAGATGAGTGAAAATTCATTAGTTTTCATGTTTTGAAGGCATCATTAAAAACAGGATATTTTCACTGTAATTTAGACGATGAAAAAGTTGACAATTCATGTCAAGTATAATACGAATACCTGTCCTACTGTAGCATACAGGTGCAGAATAGACCTATTAATGCATACAACACTAGAATATAAACTAGTCTAATGTAATAGTAATGCAATAGCAATGCAATGCTATTGTAGGGCATCTAGCATAGTTTATTACATTATCCAGTTTACAGTCTATTCCTCTTATAATAAACTCCACTTAATAGACATAAACAAGCACAAATAACAGTATTGATGACAATCTAATCATCCAGTTATTTGCTATTTGGGTGAAATGAGTGTCACATATGAGGAGAGATGAGAATAATATTCATGAAAGACAATTGAATGGAAATGCGATACAATAGACAGGGAATGGAGTATAGGTTTCACTACATATACTCAGGACTGTAAGGCTGTAAGAGAGCGACACTTGTATTGAATGCAGTGTTCATTGTATTCATGCATTCATTGACAGCTTCATGGCAATTGAGTGATGTTTGACTCAATCACTGGTTTAACTGTCATTTGATGGCAATTGTATGACAATTGACGAGTGAGTTCCGAGTCCATCACTTGAATCACACCTCTTGTCATACATGCCATTGTTGGGCGTCCGTTGAACAGCAGACAAAGTGTTAGTAAATTGAAAATATTGTCAATTAATTAGGCATTGAATTGATTGTCAACTGATATCCACTGAATGGTCAATGAGTGCTAAAAACAAACTCAATCTAAAGCTTCCGCACTCTTCAGTGCAAACCAATGACAACAATCTCATCGACCCATCCATAGAGTAATGCATTCATCACTCCATTAATTATTCATTACTATTACTATTAACCCAATTATCGGCTCATTTGGTGTCACAGAAAACATGTGGACACGAGTCTTGAGGGGCTGCACAAGACATTAGAGGGTCTCGAGTTGGATGAGCAGCAGAGGAAGCGGTTGGAGGTATTCCTGTCGCAGAAGCAGAAGGTTG